AAAAAAAATATATATATATAATGTAGAAAAGTTCATAAAATCATGCACCTGAAATAAAAACCTGTGTTCATCATTATGTCAAAAACAGAACTGCTGGTTCTTCCTGTCTTACCACAAATAGTTTTATTTTAAGCCTGTAACTTTTGGAAGTTTCATGGCACAATATTGGGATTCTAGGTTCAAGATAGAAAAAATAAAGAATTCCAAAAGAGTCACCTGTCTGATACAGACAACACTCATAAATCAACTCTGGAAATCCCAGGTGGGAAGGAGAAAGAAGAACATACAAAAAGCTCAGAGGTATAACAAGAAACTTCACATGCACCGTGCGCCAAAGGCGGAAAATTTCCCACTCTGCAAATTCTGTGCACTTTATTATTTCTCAAAAAGTTGCTTTTGCATAAGTTTGTTACACAGAATTAGAAAATGATTGTGCTGCACTGGAAAAATGCTGTTGCACTGTTGTTGTATGTATGTCACTGCTGTCATGTAAGAAACTCCCTGCACAAGGTGGGATCTCTGCATGCGAAACTAGTTTGAAGTCTTGAATTCATTACACGGTGTAGGAGTCTGTATGTGGCTATATTTGCTTAAATGTTAGCACTGAAGGGGTTAATGCAGTGGGCTGTGAAGATGCCATTTGTTTGCTGGTTTGGTATGGTACTACCTCCAGTAGAACACCAAATGCAGAACAATTGAAATATGTAAATATAATTACATTCTTCAAAGATAACCGCATGGCAAATGCTTCTGCAGATTTCTGTTTCCAGTGTTACTACCAAAGGTAGTATGAAGAGTAAACCTCTGGAAATTTTCTCCTTCTGAGTAATAGCAAGTAAATTTAAAAAATATTGTAGCATTTTACATTGTAATAACTTGTTTTGGTTTGTTTTGGTACTCCATTTTAAATTGTTCCTATAAATATTACATCTCTTTATTGATTTCACTCTGCTAAGTCCCTGGAGTACCTTCAACAACAAAATGTCAGGGTACAGAGGTCCTCGGGGTATCTCCATTAGTCTAAGTTCCCTCCTGAATATATTCATCCTGACCCTTTCCGTCCTCATTTATACTACTAATCATTGATTTTTTTCCTAATATCTCTCCAAAAGTTCCTCTTTTTTACTACATACTCTCCTTCTCCAACTCCCATCCCCTGTACTAAATCACAGCTCCTCCCCTCACGTCCGAGATGATGGATGTTTCTCACACCCCTCCCCACGAGGATCTTGACTGGCGTTGGCACGACTTCCCAGTGTGGCCGTGCCCATGTCCCTCAGCTCCCTTCCCACTGCTGTTCCCTGAGCCCATCCACCAATGCCCACAAAGTGGGTTTCCCATATTACTCGTTCTTCTGGCCCCATTAAGTCCCCTCCTGAGGGCTAGGTTACCAGTATCACTCCTCCAGTAAGGGCCATCCCCTACCCTGTCTCCCCAAGACACTTACCTTCAGGTCAACGTCTTCCTCATTTCTGAACTTTCTTCCAGGGATCAGAAATGCCACAGATTCCCTGTTTGCATCTTCATTCCCTTCGAGCTATCCCGTGAGCCTCATTAAAATGTCCTAGTTTAAAATAACTCCTTCTAAGACTACATCTCACTTCCTTTCCACTTTTTAACGCGTGTTATTTTCGGTATAATACCCTGTTGCAAAACGGTTGTGCAGGGCGGTCTTTGAAGTTCAAGATTTTCTGAACTGTCAATGAGAAGTTCATGAAATCCAAATAATTTTAGTTTAGCAAAAAACTTTAAGAGACAAAGTCGTTTTAGTTAAATATGGCTAGAGGGACAGTTGAATCTCTGGAAGGGCTTGTGCCACGAATAAATGAATGAGGAATACTTACCCCTGAAATAAGAAGTAATTATTTATTCTAAATTTTTATTGAATTCTACTGGCAGCTTGCATTTTTGTGACCTTTACTTCATCAAAAATGTTTACATGGCCTTGATGTATCTTGCAAGTTCCATCTGTTTTGTCCACGTTTTCAGAATGAACACATCACCATAATTTTTACAAGTATTTATGTAGGACTTAATTAGACTTTTCAGCTGACAAATCAGCATGATTAGACACTACCCGTATGGTGGGGCTTGGGTGTGTTGTCACATTCATGAGAAGGCGGCTGTGAAATGTTTGCTCGTTGCAGTTTTAAGTGGATTCTGTTTCCTATGTTTACTCTACATTATTATGTTCCTCAGGATGCCTTTGGACATCCTGCCAGTGAGATGAGGATAGGGGAGCTTCGTCCTTCCATGCCAGAGACTCCGTTGTACCCACCCAAACTTGTTCTTCTGGGTAAAGAGAAGAAAGGTACTGACTTGACTTCAATGTTTTAGATGAAAGCGTGTGTAATGTGCACAGACACATGAGTTAAGATGTTCTACACTTCGCTCTGATTTCAAAATGTATCACATGCGTATTTGTGCACGTCTATATAGAGATATCTCCATAGTATCAATTTTGAAATGTATTTTTCTGGAGTTTAGTTTTCAAATACCACCTCCTGAAAATGTTTGCTGTGTTTTGTTTCAGAGTCGACCGATGAGTCGGAAGCAGATAAGATCCATTGTCTGAATAACAGCGTTTCCTCAGGCACTTACTCAGACTATTCCCCTTCCCAGGCTTCCTCGGGGTCCTCCAACGCGCATGTTAAAATGGGGTCCTTGCAGACAACGGCTAAAGAAGCAGTGAATAACTCTTTGTGGGGGAACAGGTGCGATCATCTTTCTTATGATAACTTCTGGTTGCCTTTGTCTTGTCTCAGAAATCCCCAACTGTATGAATTTTAACAAGGGCAAGTGCTGGATTTGGCACCTGGGACACGGCAAAATCGGGACTGAACTTCATGCCGAGGTACTCCTAAGGAGCAGGAGTTCTTTATTGCAGTGCTGGATGCACTGGGGATCGCTCCATCCATGGTGCATCCCGACTGCTCCCTCTGCAAAAGCTTTCTACTGTCAGCACATGCATATTCATTACTTCTCCAAGAAATTATTAACATATTAATCACATTTCCAAGAACTTGTTAATAGATGCAGATGTCCTTTTCGCATACGCGCTGATGCCATTTTATTCTCTTCGGGGATCCTCTGGTGGGTGTGGAATTTTTCTCACTGGGCCCTTTAGTTGAGCTTTTCTTTTGCACATGCTTAGTTCATCTTTTGGCCTGTTGACAGCACTTCTGTCTCCATAAAACGGGTTTATTCCAACATTGCTACCTTATCTACCCTATTGCAAAAACGTGATGCCTCAAGTCCCTCTTTCATCTGTTCTAGACTACAAGCTTGCCTAGGCCGAGCTGATATGGCGCTAACTCTCAATGACACATTTTTTAAGCGGAAGGGGATGTTCTCAATCAATCTCTATCAATCAATCTGACCGAGGGCGTTTTATCTTGTTTTCATTTTGGTTTGGTTTTGCAGGTTGGCACAATCATTTCCACAACCCCTTGAAACAAAGCCATTGTTGAGCCAACGGGAATCGGCCCCGGCGGGAAGCCTCCCCCAGCGCCCGGACAGGCGCCCGCTCAGCGACACCTTCGCCGACAGCTGGAACGACGGCTCGCACTACGATAACACGGGCTTCGTGGCCGAGGAGAGCGCGGCTGAGAATCCGAGTGCCAACGCCCTCCTGAGCACCAAAACCAGAAGCACATCCGCACACGGCCGCAGGCCCTTGATTAGACAAGACAGGATAGTTGGCATTCCCCTGGAGCTGGAGCAGCCGACGCTCAGAAACACACACGAATCTGAAGTGCCTCCTCCCAATCCTTGGCAAAATTGGACCAGAACCCCTAGTCCTTTTGAAGACAGGACAGCTTTTCCTTCCAAACTAGAAAGCACCCCCACCACCAGCCCTTTGCCTGAGCGGAAAGATCATGTCAAAGATTCTCCTGAAATGACTAGCACTTTCGCTCCAGGAATAGCCTGGGAATATCATGATTCGAATGCTAACAGAAGTCTCACAAACGTGTTTTCCCATCTCCACTGTCGCCCAGATCCTTCCAAAAACGTGATTTCAATCAGCAAGAGTACAGAACGGCTTTCTCCCATGATGAGGGATTTAAAAACTAACAAATTTAAGAAGTCGCAGAGTATCGATGAGATAGACATTGGTACCTACAAAGTGTATAATATACCCTTAGAAAACTATGCATCTGGTAATGATACTGTAGGAACCCACGAGAGGGTGGACAAGCTCCTGGGTCCGGAGCACGGCATGCTGAGCATGTCCCGCAGCCAGTCGGTCCCCATGCTGGACGACGAGCTGCTGACCTATGGCAGCGTCAAGGTGCAGCCGCAGCAGAAGTCATCGGTCACCAAGAAAGTCTACCAGTTCGACCAAAGCTTCAACCCGCAGGGAGCAGTGGAGGTCACAGCGGAGAAGAGGCTACCGCCGCCTTTCCAACTCAACCCCGAGTACATTCCCCAACAGAGTAAAAACCTGCCCCAGGATCTGGTCAGTCCGAGGGCTTACCACGGCTACCCGCCCGTGGAGCACATGTTCTCCTTCTCCCAACCTTCGGTGAACGAGGAGGCCATCAGTGCCTCCTTTGCGAGCCAGGGCTCTCGGCCAGGGTTCTTGAGGAGAGCAGATTCATTGGCCAGCTCCACCGAGATGTCCATGTTCAGGAGAGTCAGTGAGCCCCACGAGCTGCCCCCGAGCAGTAGGTATGGCAGACCTCCCTACCGAGGAGCTGTGGAGCGACAAAGCAGCATCTCGGTCTCTGAGTCTCAGTTCCTCAAGAGGAACGGCAGGTACGAAGACGAACATCCATCCTACCAAGAAGTGAAAGCCCAGACTGGAAGCTTTCCAGTTAAAAACCTTACACAAAGGAGGCCGTTGTCTGCAAGAAGCTACAGTACAGAGAGTTACGGCACATCCCAAACCAGGCCGGTTTCAGCGAGGCCAACAATGGCAGCTCTGCTGGAAAAGATACCGTCAGACTATAACTTGGGTAACTATGGCGACAAGCCTTCCGATAACAGTGATATAAAGACAAGGCCTACCCCTGTGAAGGGAAATGAGAGCTGTGCTAAAATGCCCGCTGACTGGAGACAACAGCTACTTAGACATATAGAAGCTAGAAGGTTAGACAGGGTATGTTTGGCATTTCTCTGCAATTAATGCCTTTAGTTGTGTGTTTCGGTATTTCAAACTATTTGCACGTACAGTGGTAACCGCCAGAAAATTCCCAGGAATGAAATTCTTGCCTCGAGGGTCCAAGAAACCGGCCCGCAAAGGGGCCTGGGGGTGCTCAAAAGCTGCTGGAGTGAGGGGTTCCTGGGTCAATGAGTGATACAGGAGTCTGACGGTGCTCGTTACTAACGTAGTCCCCGCCGCAGCACCGTCTGAAATCATTAAACCCATAAAAAAACCCTCTCCTTATCAACAGATGTGAACGTGCCGCTGAAGCCCACCACTTCAGTAACGATCTGAGAGCATTCAGAGATGCTGGATACAACTTTGCAGTCAAAGGCAATAAAGAAAAAAACAAAAACAAAAACAAAAACAAAATGTCACAGATAAAAAGTAAAATATGTATTTTAGCTTTCACATCACTGTTAGTGGAGGGGATGGAAAGGTATCGCTTAACTCTGAGAAATCTCACTGGATATACACTGCCACTGTTTTTAACGAGCAATATGATTATTACTCCTTTTAGCTGTAGGAAGTTAACGCTTCTTTGCCTTCTATACTAAGTCCTATAGTGCATGATTTCAATAATAATCCTGGCTATTTAATGACCTGCTTCATTGATCAGATTTACTTCATAATCTGAAGGGGTTGTGAAAAATTACTGTTGTCGAGTGCATAAGTTTAGTTTCAAAATGTGTCCAGATACCTATTTTATGCTAGATACTCATGGGTTTGGTGTTAATATATTCATTACCTTCCAGTTGCTTGGATATGATGCATATTAAAATATCATTAAGGATCAAATGGGTAAACTTTTAAAACTGGCTTGAAGGCTGAAGCTTTTTCCTTACTTCAGCTCTTTTCCTTATGTTGTGTCAATATATTGGAAAATACGTAATACCTGGGCAAAATAGTACACCCCAAGTAGAGACGTTTCTGGTGGACACTTCCCAGGAGGTGTTTGTTTAAGAAATATCTTTACACTTAGTTTACAATGTGTGTTTGCTTAAGAAATATCTTATGGAAGGCTGACACTGGTGATTTTATCGAGTTAAATTGATTTCGCAGCCATCCCGGCCGGTGCCAGCGAGCTAGTTTTTAGTTGTTTGCACCATATGATAAGCAAAGCTGTAAGGAGCTGGGCTGTCTGGTGGAGATGTTGCTGATGAGAACTCCTGGGTGCTGCTGTGCAGCAGCTGCTCCAGGAGAAGGGGTCCCCATGGCCCGCGAGGGACCAGTCTGTGCAGGACCTGTGTCCCCATCACGATGGGCTCAGCCAGAGCTTGTCCCACCAGGGAGCTGGCACAAAGCTTGACGGATGGTGCAGAGCCTTGTGTAGGGCTTTTTCCTCTGCCTTTGGTCCTCTTTTATGCTAGATAAGTTTTTTGGCCCATCCATGATTGCATAGACCTACCAAAATTTGGCCATATTTACAAAATAAAGACTTGTACCATGTTATATACTGCAATTTTCAAACTATAGATAACATAATTCATCTGCTGTCAGCGTTGAAGTCTTTTCTGGTATCCATTTTATGTATAACTAGCAATGTATTTGCTTCTGTGTGACCCAGTGCATGCATCAAAAAGCTATTTATTTCTTGGTACTGTTCGTTTGCTTAAACTAAAACTTTGTGAAATTAACCATATATATGTGTGATACTTGATTCAAGGAGCATGTGTGTTCATATCCTGTCACGTGGTTGTTTCCTCTACTCAGACCGCTGCTTACAAACACAACACAGTTAGCCTTGGCATGCTGCACTCTGGAGGGTTTTCAGCAATGCATGCCGGCAGAAGCATGACTTTAAACTTGCAGACTAAATCTAAATTTGAAAACCAAATGCTTCAAGAGCTACCTCTACCGAAAGTAAGTATGGGATAGCCAGCATATACCGGCATTACCGAATAAATTAATGATACTCCTTGCTTTTTCTCCTGGTTTAGCTTTTGCCTATTATTCATGCTTATACTAGACGCAATCCAAAAAGCAAAGATGATAGTAACCCAGTTTTCCTACTCAAAGATCTTGCTTTTTGGATTAAGTAGCTCACATGGCTGTCATTACTGCTTTCTGCTCTCGTCTTACAGACTGGTGCGATCATTCTATTTCCTCGATGACTTAAGCTGTGCGCAGAAATGGAGAACGTGTTTTGTTTTGTGACTGTTTGTTCTGAAAAAAAAAAAAAAATATTGATGTGGGAATGTTTAATAATGCATTTAAATAGGCTCCGAGGGACAGGGATTTTGACATATGAACGTTAATTGGGGATGCTGTACTAGTTGATGAGTTTTGAGTACGTGCCTACCACACCTACATTAATTTGAAAATTCTGTTGAGTAACGCCTACAGGAAGAAAACAGTTTTCCCATTTTTTTACTGTTCATTTTACAACTATTAGCCATATATTGTTGATAAGTACACACATACACAATTATATACAAGCATTGGGTGGGAATAGCACGTAGGACAAGCCAGAGAAGTACTGGTGAAGTATTTTCAGAGAGGAGATGCAGCGACCTCACTCTGTGTCACGAACGGCCACCGCAGAGTCACGCATAGTTAATGCCATAGGGCATTAGCATGGGTAGCTGTTGGTAGGAATTAACTACCTCTCTGTGAGTAATTAAAGGGTAACAGAGCCCGGATCCAGGCGCTGAGATGTGATCATCCACGCTGTTAATTGCTGGCCTGGCCTGGGGCGAGGCTTGGCGCTGGCCAGCTGGCACCAGCCCTGGCGGTCCCTGGCCAGGGCTCTGCAGGCAGCGCTGGCCAGAAATTCCCAAGGGAGGATTCCAATCCTCGGTTTAAGAGTTTAGGTCCAAGCCTATTTAGAAGAATAAGATAATTTAACGGCAGCAACGTGAGCAGGTTGAGCTGGTTGGCTGGAGGACAGGTCCTAGCGCCGCTCAGCTCACTCACCCAGCGTACGCGGGATTTCCGAGCCGAGCTGTGACATGTTCACTGTCCCCACACACACACACAGATCACTGTCAGGTTTCTCCTGCTGTAATTTACTCTCCACACACCCTTAACTTCATTTCCACCTCCCATTCAGCTGTCCCTGGGTTTAAACACGTCCTCACGTTAGTGTGTGCTTCTCTGTTGTTCAGTTAATGACATCTAGGTCGAGCCTTCACTGTAGGTGTGTGTGTGTTTGGACACAGACAGCTTCCCAGTGTTGGTCATTCTGTTTGGGTTTTTTTTTCTTTCAAATAATTTCTTTGTCTATTTGGGTATAAGCTAATTATTATCATAAGTCGTTGAAAGAAGTCCATTTGACATCATCTCCAAATAGTGGTGCTATTTATCTACACATTTAGGAATTTTATATATATATATATATAGCTCACATTAATAATTTTAGGCTGTAGATGAATATGGGTGTCTGAGGAAATTCCTGAAACTCTTTAGGGTGACGTGTTTTGGGGTGTGGTCTCATGTAAATTACTCTGCTTTTTATTTCACTGGCATTTCATTGCTACCTACCCATATACAATGTGATGCTGAACTGCATGAGGGGGGTGTGTTCTCTTACTGTACTGTTTGGAAAGTGGTGAAAAATTATTGTTAAACAAATAATTTGAATGTTTAGTATTGTTTAATTTTATTCCTTCACGTGTTCTAAAGGATTTTGCATTTCCTAAAGAATCCAGGCCACAGCAGCTTAGTATTTACCTCTTTTTCCTCTTTCTTGTGGCCTAGATTCAAGAGAGTAATGAGTGAGGTCTAACTGTCCAGTGGAAGATTAGGAAATCAAATATAGCAATTACTTATTTTGCAAAAGTTTATTGTATTGATTCTACTTTATCTATAGAATGTTTGAACCACTGCTTTTCATTTTTCACCTAGACTTAATAGATAATGTAGTTTGTTTGCAGTCTGTCCAAGCTCTGTACATTAATAATATTGCAAGTAGGCAAATTCGCTTTACTGCAGGAAAGAAAAAACCTGTTATCACAGAACTTTCCTGTTTATTGAGAAAGCAGAAAGCACCCTCTGTATTTTTTCTTTCTCCATTTTGAGTGGGAGCTCACCTCTGCAGGTTAGTCAGTCCCGTATAAAAATGTCCCAGTGACAAAACTTTTCAGAAGGACACTTTAAAATTTTTGGCATCCATCTCACAATTCTTTTAACCTCTGCAGGTTAGTCAGTCCCGTATAAAAACGTCCCAGTGACAAAAGCCACATGTTTCAGAAGAATGCTTTAAATTTTTGGCATCCATCTCACAATTCTTTTTGAAGTTTATGGTTTGACTCACTTTGCTCTTGGAAGTGTCCAGTACCACCTCCCTTTAGGAATAACGGGCATATTGTCATATATCGCTTAGGAGGAAAAAGAGAGGTTCCCTCGGGAAGCTGCCTCCCTCCCTCATCCCTCATCCCTCTGTCTCTGCGTGGGATGGTTTATCAGTCCATCTCCCAGGGAGGTGAGCCATTTCCAGCACAGCCATGGGCACATCGCTCTGTGGGTGACTCTGGAAGGGATGATGACTCACATCACAAAGATGATGACCTTTCTTTTTTCATGGGTTTTTTGGGGTTTTTTTACTACTCCTCAGAGCAGAAATTTTTGCAGCTGTACTTTTTCATTGTAGAAGCTGGTTACTGCCCTGTCTCAGATGATGTACCCACGTTTGGATGAGGCTTATGTGGGGACATGCAGCAAACAGGGCAGAATGGCCAATTCATGAGTTTATGTTGGCCCAAAGAGCCCTACTTGGGCCCAAACTGGGACCCCAGTTCTGATCTATGGCCAAACAGGGATCAACATGTCCTGGGCTGGGGCAGGGACTAACCCCTGGCTGCTCACACAAGGGTGAGCTGAGAACCTGTGGAAAAAGTGTTGAGGTTGGTCTCATTTTTCCATTTTTACTATGAGGAAAGAAAACTCCCCAGGGAGGTCTCGTAGTTTCAACAGGGAAAACTTTTTTTAGTGGTTTTTAATATACAGAATATCACACCTTTCCTGATTTTTCTGGAAGATTTCTTGAATGGTGAGAGAATTATAATGAAAGTTTTCCTACAATCCCAGACTGGTTTGGGTCAGAAAGGACCTTAAAGCTCATCCAGTCCCAACCCCCCTGCCATCAGCAGGGACACCTTCCACTAGACCAGGTTGCTCAAAGCTTTTTCTTTGATTTTAAATAATTAGAGTTGAATTTTTTCACTTAACCTCTGAGGAGTAGGATTTAAATCACAATTTACTTCTATTTACTTTTGAAGGATTTTTAAGCTTGCCTAAAAAAAAGTTCCTGTTGGACCAGTTCCCATCTTTAGTATTTCAGAGCAACAGTTCAATTTGTTCTTTGGTCATCTAAATAAATGTTTCATGATTTTTTTTTTTTTTATCTAAACTGAAGAAGAAAATTGCTTGAATGACAGAGGGGAAGATCAGACTTCTTTTTCTTTTTGGATTACCATTAATCAGAACTGAATAAGCAGTTAACGGAATAAGTGCTACAGAATGCTGGGTGCTGCCAGTGGTAGTACAATGGTGGCATTTTTGGAAAGTCTGACCCAAAAAGCTCATACCCCTGTTAGTAAAATTTCCAGCTATGGTAAAGAAATGCAGAGACAGATAACAGAAAATCAGGCTGGGACTGAAAGAGTCCACACGTCCTCGAAAGTGCTGGAAACAGGAGTAAAATAACCAGGGGGAAAGTGAGAAAGAAGAAACATGTAAAAATGGAAAATAATAACAAAAGTATCAGGCTCATTTAGGAAAATTTAAAATGTGTGCTGTGTCCCTTTGTATTCAGGAGAGCATTTAATTGCTGGTTAATGTTCTACATACAATATCCTGTTAACCCAAAACAAAACCAGCCGTAGCCTAGAGAGAGAGGTGGCTCACCACGCAGAGCAATACCCAGAGCACAGCACGAGGTCACAACAGTCACGAGGTCAATATTGCCATTAAGGAGTCTTTTCTGAAAAAAAAATACAAGTGTAGAATTTAATCTTGGTGGCAAGTGCTTAATAAAAATGTTTCTGATGTTTGAATGACCAGTAAGAAAGTTTTAACTCAAGTGATTAATGGCAGACTGCACGTTTAAATATGGTACTTTGCCAAAATTTGTTTCTCTGAAAATAATGAGTTACGTTAAATTAATTTTCTCTTTTCTCTCATCATTCATTATTCTCATTATTTCTTTGGTATATATCTTTCAAGATCTCCTGCTTGCAGAGAGTCCCACAGCAGTACGATTACATGTTAATGAAATACCATAGAAATTAAAAAGGTTTTCCATTTTAGCAATAGCGTGTTACACTTTAACTGGGTTGATGACTGAAATAAATATGAAGAGAGAATTTTCTGTCGTGATGTGACAGTGACTAAAGGCTGCCCTACCATTTCTGCAACAGACCCCATCGCAGCAGAGCAGCATTCTGGACAACGGGCAGGAGGAGGTGTCCGTCAGCAGCCAGTGGAACCCCTACCCGCTGGGACGGCGGGACGTGCCACCAGACACCGTCACCAAGAAGGTAGGTGACACCAAAGCTGCTGGTGTTGTCTTCTTTTCCCAGCGCATCGGTGGAAGGAGGAGAACAGGTGAATATGAGGACAGGTTTGAGAAACACATGGTTTTGTTTCAAAGTGTAATTATTTGGAATGAAGGATGGTCTTTTCATGCCAGCTGCCTGGTTTTGTATTTATTTATGCAGATGCTAGTAGTTGAATCTATAGCACGTGAAATGGGCACAGGGGGCTTGGCAAGTGTATTCCTGCACCCATCAGACAGCCATCAGCTCCCTCTTGTCCTGGAAAGTCTTCATTCACATTTTTCATTTCAATTACATTCTTCAGTTCATGACAAAAATAAATGTGTTGAGATGGAGACCAGCCCAGTGTCTGGACAGTCCAGAGACATCCTAGGCACACATCATGTGCTAATAAACTCGCTAGAAAAGGATCTAATTTCTCATACTTTGTAGTGGTAGATATTAAATTCCAGTGCTTGGATCTGGCTTCTTTCTGGGAAAACACTGGCTGCTCTCTCCCAGCCCCAACTTGGCTCTGCTCATCGACTGAGAAACTGCCATTTTTAGATGCTTTAATCATAAAGCTGGAGAATGGAGGATCTTGCCAACCTAACCCCGTTTGCAAACAGCTTTAGAAGGTGGAGCCACACATTGCTAATTCCACTGATTGTTATCTGTATGGAGACTGGTCCTGCTCATTCTTGAAGTGAAGAATTATAAGTGAATAAAACCGGTGTGAAAGTCATAATGTGCACACTGGTACCTTCTGTAGCGTAATTAACTGTCAGCGTTGATGAGGCAAATATCTCCTTGCTGGCTTCACATCTTTTTATCCCAGATGGTTTCAGAAGCAGTGGCCTTTGCCTTCATACAAAAGTAGTGACAAGAGATAGTCATGGACACGAGAATCACTTGAAGATGGGAGATGAAAGCTGTTGTGCCCAAAGCAGCCCGGACACTCCTTCCCAGGCACAGGAGGGTGAGGAGGAAGGTGTCCTGATGTTGTTTGATGGAGTTAACTCTGACAGCCGAGTTATTCGAAGGGTTTCTTTATCCTCTGACGTGCAAGAAACTAGGATAAGACATTTAAGAGCAGTTACTACTTATCTTCACTGGCATATTGGGATGAAACCTGCCTTTAGCCATTGACACAATCTTAACACGGGCTGTGTCTTGCATTTGTGCATCATCAGTGTTACTATAATAAGCAACTCCTGTTTCGTTCTGAATATTTCAGTATCTCACTGCTCAGATGTGGTAAGTATCAACACTGCAGAACTGGATTGAAATCTGCTTAACGCAGTGGAGCAACCCATTGTTACATCCGTTGTCAGCGGCTTTAATTATACTGTAAATATTGGACACTGAGCTGAAAATAATTAACTTTTGTGGTGGATGTTCAGTAAAGAAAAGAATACAAATGAAATTGGGGAAGCAGTCTGCATAATTGAGATTTTCTCTGCAGAATAAGTAATTCCCAATTCCAAGAAAGGCAGCTTATCCACTTCTCTGAATGCACAAGTAGTAGTGATACAATCTCTTCACAATCTCTTACCAGGAGTGAGAAAATGAAATCTGAAATTGTTTACCCACCATCCTCAGGAGGTGGTTTGCAACGTGCTGTTACGAGGATGCTCATCTCCAGTGAATATGACCTTGAGTGTCTTTGTTTCCCAGCATCTGGGGATTAAAATATAGCAATTATTTGAAGTCAGACTCAGAAAATCTTCTCTAGAAATAAAGCTCAACATAACAATTAAACAATGTAAATATAAATTGTAGTATATGTTGTGTTTTTCCAGTAGCACAACGGTACCAGTGTGAACAGGAGGATAGACTGAGAGAGCTGGGACTCTTCAGCCTGGAGAAGATCAGACTGAGAGGGACCTTATCAATGTTTATCCATATCTAAAGGGCGGGTGCCAAGAGGATGGGGCCAGACTCTTCTCAGTGGTGGCCAGTGACAGGACAAGGGGCAATGGGCACAAGCTGGAACACAGGAGGTTCCTCTTAAACATGAGGAAAAACTTCTTTCCTGTGAGGGTGCTGGAGCCCTGGGACAGGCTGCCCAGAGAGGGTGTGGAGTCTCCATCTCTGGAGATGTTCAAACCCACCTGGACACCTTCCTGTGCAACCTGGTGAGCCTGCTTTGGCAGGGGGGCTGGACTGGATGATCTCCTGAGGTCCCTTCCCACCCCACCATGCTGTGACCCTGTGAATAATCCATGGATTTATTAAAAGACGACAGTATTTATGCTTCCTGAAGATGACTTTTTCTGTCATGTCCACCAGTCAGGTACATGCCTGATTAAACTAGGTGTATTCTGAGTTAGCTGCTCCTCCATAAAAAGGGAAGGGGTAGAAGTGTGGTGAGGGACCACCACAAGGGAACCTGGAAATCACTCCTGATGAAAAAGAGAGGTTGAAGAGTGAGAATGAAGATGGCAAATGAACAGACTTCAGGATGGCCAACCTGGGCACAGGATGACGACCCTGTGAGAGGAGGAGCTCCCCAGATTTGAGGATGCGTAGAACTGTGTGAGTTGGCCTCTTCTGCAGCCACCAACACGGAGGCTGAAGCCATGCAAACTCTTGGAGATCCCTGCGTGGGCTGTAATGGTCTCGGTGGATGTGGAAGGAACATACACTGTGGAACTGGAGCGAGGCAGCTGCCTCCAAACTGGGGCGTACTGGTGTCTGAGGCACCATTTCTCTTCTTTTCTGACATGGGAATATTTCTGGAGGCTCCTTCTGTTTCATTTCCAGCACCTGCTGTTCAATACAGAGGTCTTTTAACCTGATAAAGAAGATTTGAGCTTTTTTCAGGGAAGAAGCACAATTATTTTTTTATTTGAAATATCTATCTTCCTCTGAGGCAGACAGTGCACCTGCTGTGGTGGCTTTGGATTATATCTGGGGCAAAGAGCAGAATTTATGAGATTCTGCTTTTTTTGGGATCCTCTTGTGATGAGTATGACACAACATGAAGTACAGACCTGTCCTGCACATGGTCACCTGCTCGCTTTGCATCTGCATGGTACAGGGTGACACGGATTCAGCAATCCTCAGCGGGCACGGCTCGTCGCTGCGGTGGAGTCAATAAATAGCTACAAGGTCTGGGTTGAGCATTTTCTTTCCCTTCTGATCCTGGTTGAACTGAAGATCTCTCTGAGCTGTAAAGTGGGACGTTGGCAGTACAGACTGACCCCACCAGGCTGTTCCTGGAGTGAGTTTGACAATGTCTGTTAAACACGTTCATCTGTGCAGGTGAGCTGTGTTGTAAGAAGAATTTGAGGATTGAAGATTTGAGCACAAGGAGTAAGAGATTTCTCTGTCATTACTCGTTTTGAGACCAGCCCTCTTGTCCTAAAATAAAGACCTGTCAGACATGTACTCTGCCTGGTCCCTTTCTTCAAATGTAGTCAGCAAAATGAGACGGAGCAGGTCAGTTTTGCTGTCAGTCACTGCATGTCTTGCTGGGATTCTGTGTTCAGCAACACAAGTAGCTCCAGCTGCCTTTGCATTGATGACATGCCCTGCTGACAAATCTTGGAAATCCATTCAGATGTGGTTTTTGCCTTGGCAACAAACAATTAATTCAATGCCCTGGCTGCTAGAACTTCCAAGGCCAGATGTTTGGCCAGCGGGTAAGAAATGGTTTGATCTTTTGCTATATGAAATTTAACCTTGTCTAAAATACAGTCTCACAATTGGTGACTCTTCCAGCAGGATCATAAAGGTTAAGTAGACCAGATCTTCATGATGACACATGGTTGTGTTGTTGGCTGGTGTAAACTTCATGTAAAACTTTGTTGAAGTAGGTCTGGTTTGTCCGTAGAGACCTGCAGATATTGGGACGTGCAGTCGTGATGCCCTTTCACATTCAGGCTGTTCAAATAACAGCACTGGTTGGTGGGTGGGTACCTGTAATCTGGAAGCTCTCAGTAGCAACGGTGTGATATTTCGTGGAGATCAAACAATATGACCTTTTGATCAGTTTGATCAATCAGCTATGATCAAACAATAATGTTTAATCATACAACAGAGTGTGGATTTTGCTCATTCCCTTCTGGTTAAACTGCATGTGATTATTTATAAGCAACAACATCTGAATCCTGTAAATATGAAAAGTGTAAAATTGTCTGAATTGAATTTATCTTGCAAAGGTTTGCCTGAAATACTGATGTAATTCATGTGCCTCAATAGAGACTGTGTATTGAAGAGTAAGCAAGTATGCAACTTTACCATGTCAAGAACAGAACACAGAAAGCAAACCTCACCTCTCAGGTCACAGCTGCAGACGTGAAAGGCGATGGGGATGGAGGGGGTCAGGGGTGAGAGCATCACCCAAAAAACATCATCTGTTTTTTCTGAAAACAGCAAAAGGCCAAATGCAAAGTAAATGTAAAGTTTCACTTATATTTACAAAATATTAGAGCTCCAAATCAGTAGATACTATCATAGAAATTTGATTAGTTACATGTGGTAAAAGTCACATTTGTTCCTAGCACAAGGCACAGAATTTAACTGATCTGTGCTTTCCATACTCAATACTGGTATTTGTGGTGTTTCCCTCATAACAAATCCCACGCTGAGAGTAAAACACCACACTGTTCTGGCTCCTAAAAAGAAACCCAGCTCTGTCCCAGCTAAAATCCGGGACAACATTATTCCAAATTATCTGCAGAAAAAAAAAATAATCCCAGTATGTTCAGAGTGTGCTGTGAGGAATAATCCAACCTACCTCAATGTATTAAACGTTTTCAGTTCACAAAACATGCTGAGCAGAAGCATATATCACGACATGACGAAAAAAATGTGATATTCTGTTTATAAAGCATCCTGTATATGGCTAATTTCATAGAATCATAGACTGGTTTGGGTTGGAAGGGACCTTAAAGCTCCTCCAGTCCCAACCCCCCTGCCAGCAGCAGGGACACCTTCCACTAGACCAGGTTGCTCAAAGTCTCATCCAGCCTGGCCTTCAACACTTCCAGGGAGGAGCAGCCACAGCTTCTCTGCCCAACCTGGGAAGCTGTTCCTAGAAGTTCCCTTAAACCTCCTGGAGTCACTAAATGCAACGGGCATATCCTTGCTGCTTTTAATCACGGTTGTTTCCAACTGTGGTCAAAAGGCAAACCTCTGATGTGATGCAAGAGGTTTGCTTTTACTTGACTCTGTAAGTTGTAATAATTGCTTCTTTTCAGCTTCCTGAATTTCTGGCCTAACGGGTTACGTTACCCACAGGCAGGTAGCCATATCCAGACTTTAATGGGATCGCAAAGCCTTCAGCACCGGAGCCGGGAGCAGCCGTACGAAGGGAACATGAACATGAACAAAGTCACCATTCAGCAGTTCCAGCCGCCGCTGCCCATTCAGATTCCCTCGTCGCAGAGCTCTCGGGCACCTCAGACAGGGCGATGTCTGATCCAAACCAAGGGCCAGCGAAGCGCGGATGCGTACCAGGAGCAGGTGAGAAAGTGTGTCTGTGAAATAACACCTTGATAAAACCTCTCTGTTGGGTTTTTTTTTTTTTCTGCCTCATGTATGGTAGGAAAAGGGAGCCCAGGGCAGTGAGAGAGGGCAGGTAGCACGGGCTGGGCTGGAGGCAGGCGAGCAGCTCTGTCCTCTTCCCCAGGACTAACTGTATTTTATTTTTCTTTTCTTGGATTGACTAAGCAACACAATTTGGCATTGAAGTTCCTGAGCAGAGCTGACATCACTGGCTCGTATGGAATTAAGTTGCAATTTCTGCCAATTCCCCAATAAGCTTGTTGTGGTGGTTTCACTCCTTTGGCTGCAG